GTAAATTACAATACTATTGGCTGAGCGTAGCGTGCCTAGCTACAGCCAATAGTATTGTAATTTACCAGCCAATAGTATTGCAACTTACCCAGCCAATAGCATTGTACTTCACCTGTGTAACCATATAAGGCTTGTGACCATATATAGCAATAAGTACGCTTCCTGTTTCCTGTGCCTGCGCATAAGCAATCAGTAAGCATTTTGAATCCTGCGCTTGCGCACAATGATTAGGGAGTTGGCTGATTAACTCGATGGCAATTGGTGTAGGCAAATACAAATGTAACAATCTGTGAATCAATAAAAAGGGGCTGCCGGTGGTGAGGAAGGAGGACATCTTTAAGAGGACATCTTTAAGAGGACATTTTAGGAAGAATTCCTAAAGAAGAACTTCTTTGTTCTCCAGAGTACTCAACCGAGCATGCTTTGAAACTTTATCTCTCGTCTGCAGTGTTTTATTTCTCTCTCTGAACTCTCTCGCGCCGATTGTCGGAGCAGGCACTCCGACAGAAGATCTCAGGTCAGGAAGGTAAGGTTGAGTGTTTTTTTAAGGGTTCTACAATATATGCTCATTCAGAAATTTACAGAGCAACTTTATGGCTATTTGATGGTCATAGAATACTTTCCATGCAATTCCCCTAGCAGTGTTGCTTTTATTTCCTTATTTCAATGAGGATACTTTGTTTTGCAGATATGGAAGACTGTTCTCTATGTCCAGAACATCAGTATCCAAATGATGGCCAGAGTAAGTGCATGCCTAAAACCATTACCTTTCTGACTTATGAGGAGCCTTTGGGATTTAGTTTGGCTATTGCTGCTTTCTCATTTTCTTTCATCACTGCTTTAGTACTTGGGATCTTCATCAAGTACCACAACACAGCCATAGTCAAAGCCAACAACCGTGACCTCACCTACACCCTTCTCATCTCACTCCTGCTCTCTTTCCTTTGCACTTTGCTGTTCATTGGCCAGCCGGAGAAGGTGACATGTTTCCTTCGACAAACAACCTTTGCTATAATTTTCTCAGTGGCTGTTTCTTGTGTCTTTGCCAAAACCATTGTTGTGGTTCTGGCTTTCATGGCCACCAAGCCTGTGTCCCCAATGAGGAAGTTGGCTGGGAAGAAGCTGGCATCCTCCATCGTTCTTTCCAGTGTCCTTCTTCAAGGTATTCTTTGTACTGTGTGGCTGGCCACCTCTCCCCCATTCCCAGATTTTGACAAGCACTCAATGAATAAGGAAATTGTCCTGCGGTGCAATGAAGGATCAGCCAACATGTTCTATTGCGTCTTAGGTTTTATGGGATTCTTGGCTATTGTAAGCTTCTCTGTGGCTTTCTTAGCCAGGAACCCGCCTGATAGTTTTAATAAAGCCAAGTTCATCACCTTCAGCATTTTGGTATTTTGCAGTGTGTGGTGTCCTTTGTTCCAATGTACCTGAGCACAAAAGGGAAATACATGGCAGCTGTGGAGATCTTCTCCATCCTGGCCTCCACTGCTGGGTTACTGATTTGTATAGTTCCCCTAAAATGCTATATTATTTTGTTGAAGCCTGAACTGAACAACAGAGAGTATCTGAGAAGAAAAAATCAATAAAAATAGCAAGAATTGAAGAATTTAATACAGCCAAAATTATGCTGTTGTAATGATTCAGTTGATTGCTTCAGTGGGTTATTATAACAATTTATTCATTTATTTGTTTATTTTGGACATTTCTGTACCCTTTCAGTTAATTAATTACTCTCAGAATGTCCTGCAACATATTAAAAAAAAAAAAAACAACATAACAGCACTGCCATTCACATATTCAAACACTGAGAAGATAAAACTACTAATACACCATATTAATAAGAATAAAGCCAAGTATAAAATCAGAAATATAATCTTATAGAAATATTTTTTTCAAAAATTAATGGAATCAATGCATATTAAACAAGCAAATAGCCACAATGTCATATCAAATACAGAAGCAAAACATGTAAAATTTCAAACAGTTAAAATATAGTGAAAATAGAACTATTTCTTTCTTGGCAACAAAAAGTGTATGACGTGGGCACACTGGCACACTTCTCTGGGGAGCTGGCTTCATCACCAGGGTGTCAGGGCTGAACATTCCCTTCTCAGGTAAGCCACCCCTTTTATGTCCTTAACACCAGACTGCGAGAGAAGAACCTCTGCTGATG